CCCTACACAGTTGTTAGCACCCTGGACATGGAAGGATGCTTTGACCACCTCAGGATGGACAGGATATACAGGCAAATAGAACTAGACCCCCACCTCAGACAATGGATGAGGCATTGGGCCTCTAACAGGGTGACCAGCTACAGATTCAATGGGCGAAGTTCAAAGACCTTTGCAACAGATAAAGGCACCACCCAGGAGTCCCCCCTTTCCCCCATCCTGTTTCTAATAAGCGTATGCCACATGGCAGACCTGGAGGGTGCCGGCACACCCAACACACATACTGAAATCCTGTCTTACGTAGATAACTTCCTGGTCGTAACCACATATCACAACCCCTGCTAAGGAAAAGAGGCCAAGAAGAGGCAGACCGCATGACTCTGGACCTGGTAGGGTACCTCACAGAGGAGGCAGGATACTCCTTTTCAAAAAGCAAGACAGAGTGCATACACATCAAAACACCTAGACCCAAAGAAATCTCTCTCATTTGGGAAGGTGAACTGATCCTAAAAAGAAACAACTCCGGTGGCTGGAGTACTTCCTGACCAAGGATCTGAAATGGAATCACCATATCAGGCACTAGATCAAGAAAGCAACGCACACCAGTTACCAGCTCCATGCCCTCACAGAGCAGTTTCAGATAGGGGGCCTCAATGCATGGACTATGTTCTGCCTCATTCCGGGGCTTATCATGCCCCAACTCACCTATGGGATCGAAGTCTGGGGTACGAAAACATAAACACAGGAAGCCCAGACTATCCTAAACAACATTGCAAGAAGGGCCTTTGGGCTGGAGCTAAAAACACCCCTGGCCCCCCTATACTCAGAGCTGGGCATCCCCCTCCTCGACTTCGGCACCAAATACGAACAGAACCCACTCACCCTCAGGTCCGAGGGGCTGGACAGGCCGACAAGGTGGATGCGTCAATGGCTTGAGGAGTCCAGAGTGCAAGAAACCATCAGCACAGCATACTCACAGGAGCTGAGGAAAAAGGTCCTAAAACGCCCCCTCATGGAGGAGTGGGGGAACAGGGTGGAAAACACCGAGATACGCTACAAGGGTAAGCCAAGACCCAGGTCTAGGCACCTGCACAGGATTACTAGACAGGAATTCAGAGACTTGCCCTACCTCATGGCTACCTCCAGATGGCTGTACCAAGAAGCCGATGGCAAACAAAGACTCTGCCCCTGTGAATGGGACACAATAATGCCTGAGTACCTTGCAAACTACTCTGGAGAAGTGAAACCCACGATGGTCGCGCTCCACTCGGACAGAAGGCAGCCGGAGCTCCTGGACTGGATGGCAGGATGGCCAGCGGCCCCCAAAGACAGGCCAACGACGAGGCACCCGAACACCCTTGAAAGAACGGAGATGGTCGGGGCGGTAGTGAACCTCCCTACATCCTAACCGGAAAAGGGCCCCCATGGGAGCAAAAAATGCTCTATGAAACCATGCGCAATATGCAGGGCGCTAACCCAGAGGGACTGGGTCCACCAGGAAGCCTATGCCTGCATGCACGACCCCCATAGGAAGAAGGGAAAGAGGAGGCAAGGGGATGATAGAGAAGCCGAGGGCCCAGGAGGCAGGGGGAGAAATGCCCACCCAACCAATAGTATTTCCTAGAGTCTACAACCACCCGGCCACTGGGGCAGGGGTGGGTTTCCTAGCATGTAGCAGATTTTATTTGTCCACGACCATTAGACTGAGAGCAGGAATGGGTTTCATTGAGTTGAGGGATTTTATTTGTTTACGACCATTGGGCTGAGAGCAGGAATGGGTTTCATTGAGTTGAGGGGTTTCATTTGTCCATGACCATCAGGCCGGGTAGACGGAGATGGGTTTCCTTAGGTTGAAGGGTTTCCTGGGTTAAATAAAATCAGATAGGCATAGGGCGGGGTGGGGGGAATTTCCTTGGATAGAGGGGGCCCAGGCCCAGGGGGGGTGTCCCAGGACGCAGCAGAGTACCTTTCTGTGAAACGCTCCGGCAGCTGTAGTTTAGAATGAAAACAGGTTGACACACACACATACACATACACAATTCCCCTCCCTAACGTCGGTGGTGGCCGCGGGGCAATCCAGGAAGTGTATTGAGCAGTACATCCAGCAGACCTCCCCAACCAAAGACAGTGAAGATGGGTATAGTAGAATGTCAGGAAAGCGGATCAGTTTTATCGATGATCAACCTGTTCCTCAATTCTTACATCACAATTCATTCCACCACGCGAGTGGTTTATCCGTAAACCTTGCCATTATCAGGCCCAGAGCACCAGCAAATACAGCAGAGTCCTACAAATGCCAGGATGAGGCATTCCTAGTGGGGTGGACGGCTGGGCCATACCGGTATGATAGTCCTCTGCTCCAGGACGTTGGGCAAGCCCGGAAAGGGGCCGGACGGAACGACATATCATATCATGCCGCCATCCTGCGTGGAGCACCCTCAGGACGGACTGCCCCGCTGAGAACACTGTTCTCGCTCCAGAACCACCTCTATCCCGCGCCGGATACCCCAAGAGAGAACTCGGGCGGGAGTAGTAACCCAGCATTTTTATTGTTTTTATTGCTATTAGCAATTCCCCCAAAATGCCCACAATCGCGGCGGTGTCGGCCCGAGTCGGTGGATAGTGGATGAGCAAAAGGTAACGTACGACATGAGCTCCCAACGGCCCAGACTCACCAGTGTGAACCACCGCAATCCCAATCCCTACACCTGTGAGGGGAGAATGTAAATCGTGATGCCTAGCGGGAAATTCCTTTTTTATACGGTTAACGCTAACGGATGTCCGCTCGATTTGGCTAACGGCTGAATGGATCCCGCTGCTCACAGTATTCTTTCTTCGCTTAAGGTGGGAAAAATCCTCTGCTGATACTAGCACATATGTATGAAGAACCGGCCGATTTTTTTCAGGTCCATCCAGTAAGTCAAGTCACTACCAGTACTTGACCTCCTCCGTCCTGTGTAAGCACCTTAAACCACCAAGTCGTTAAGATGAGATCATAATCCATTAACCAACCCTCCCTGTGTTCGCAGAATTCCGTCTTTGGGACGGAACGAGGATATTGGTTATTCCGGGCCAGCTTAGAATATTCGTCTATATAAACGGAGGGGGTTCCTCTAGCGTTAGTCTCTAGCGGAAGTCATAAATACATACTTTGAGCCACCAATATTGCCCTATTTCAACATCACACATCGGACTGAATAAAGACACACCTGTCGCCAGTCTCAACTCATCTTGTGAAGGTGCCTAAAGATATGACGGCAACTGCCGCCCATAATTCGAATGTCCCTCAAACCCTCCCCCTAAGGTCCTGTATTTTCATTCCATGTTTTTTTTCTTTTTTCTTTTAGTAGAGATAACCCCTAATAGCGCTTTCCAGATACCTGGTGTTGATATCTCTACCTGCGGCCCGATAGAGTGAACACGACTCTCCAAGCATACCGGCATTCAGCATCGAAATCAATATCCCCGTGCTGTGAGAGACGCCGCAAGACAGCATCCTTTACTCGAGTACCCAAGCCGGCAAATACAACGGTGAACCCCCAATGTAGTCGCTCAGTTTATCATATGTCTCGCTTTTACCCACCAGGGCATCCAGAATGCCAGCCACCTCTACCCTAGGACATGTAGCCCTGCGCCCCCCGGGCATCAACACTGCACGCACATCCGGGAGCAGCAACCCTCACCATAAGCTCGGTCCGGGTCTTGTTCGCCAGGTACAGCAGCATCGGCGCCACGATCCTCGCTCGGAAAACGCGATTGACGCCGCCTCACAGCTCAGCAGAGTCCTCAGCGCACTGGGCTCCGCCCTAGTATTGAGGCCATTGCGGCTCGATCTGCACTGCCGGACGAGCGTAGATGCCCCCATGGAAAACACCGTAGGCTATCAGCGACCACAGTGCCGCCGGGAATAAGAGGACGGCCTTCGCTGCGTACCGTGACGGAAATGCGCAACCGCACGGCAGGTAGTATCCAGATGTACAAGTGCGCACACAGCGATAAGCTTTCAGGCGCGAGAAGATTTCCGGCGGCGAGAGGTGTCTACCGGTCATTACAAGAGGAGGAGATTTTCACTTTGGGGGGGGGGGGGGTGAGGGGTGACCCTGTACGAGACCAATTACGGTAGATGGTGTAATTACCGTGCTGGAGCAAATTTAGTCTATCGTATGTACTCGAGTACTGGTATGGACGCTCGGCAGTGCCGCGGGGAGGTAACGTAAATTAGTTAAAAAAATTTAGACTTGCGATATCCCACCGCGCAAGTGCATAAAATGCTCGCGCACAGGCCCGGTGATACAAGCCAGCACCATCACACTTGTGCACTACGGGCATCAGCATCGTACAGTGCCTTACTTGTATTGTACTACGGCTTAAGTGAGGCACAAATGCGAACTATCACGCGGGAACACTCCAGGAAACGGGAATCCCAACAGATGTCGGGTGTTCTTGACCCGCACGGTGAGGTAACACTATGCTACCCGAGCGTACGGAATCCTGATTAAATACAGTCTTCCATAATTTATCACTCGCTATGTACTACCGGTAGTATGGTAATCCCGGGGCGCCAAGCGCTCTATCATGGCTTCTAGAATGCATACGGGGGATTCTTACAGCACACCAGGTGAACATCTCCCATGTTTGTGAATTAATCAAATTCTTGGGCCGAGTCCGGCACTTCGGTTTAGGTCATCAGTTGTTCACAGGCGATACACACCGGTCAATTTACCCATAGCCGAGTCTGATTGAGAGAGGTGGCAAGCACGAGCGATGAGACCGAGAGGAGAGAGTCCATAATGTTGCCGAGCTGTTACATGGTAACTCCTCGGAGCAAACAACTTCTAAATGATCGCAATTGATTACCGTCTCGCTACATAGACTATAGCACTGTACAGTACCCGTACAGTACTGTACATAACTCGAATGAGGTGGGGACAAAATCGGGTCTAACCATAAGAATCAGCAATCACCCGTATCGCACTTTTGCCCGAACATCGTGAATCCGTAAGAGAGGTTAATTGTAGGATTAAGTATTATATCATACATCATCGCAGCCCCTCTCACAGTAATCCAAACTCAATCATTAAATCCACCTTCACCCCATCGCGATACGCTATAGTTTCGCCATAGACCAACGATATTAACCCACCCGCAGCGGGAAAAAAAACCCCCGCTAATAATCAACCCATGACCAAAAAATAAAACAATCACCATACTCCAAATACCATTAACCAAGAGAATCACCTAAACTAATTTCAATCAATCCTTTTTCTCGATGCTCCGTCCGATCTCCTCGACTTTGCAGTCCTTCCACCGGACTTTGTATCTTCCCCCACGCCAGTTGACCTGGCCAGGCCATAAGGCCCAGGCCCATATCCCAAAGGCTAGCCCCTCTCGTCCGATCCATTGTACTGCCCACTCCGAGAAGGTGCGTTTCGGCATTTCAGTTACGAATTCGGGGGTGTGCTCATCGGGTTGAATGACCTTGTACGCGTGCAAGAACATGAATAGGGAGCAATCTGTAGCGGCCCAGAGGATAGTAGCAACGCTCCAGCACACAACTAGAGCGGGCCAGGTTGGCGGAATGTAATTACGGAAGAATGGCAATGTCGTCATGGCGTATGCCCCCAGGAAGGAGCACAACACGGATTCTGTGCCCGGTTCGAGGACGGTTGCCGTGAGGACGGTGTACTTACGGACCCGCAGCCAGCGGGTTCGTCTGGCCAAGTAGTCAACAACGGGCATACGACTGACCGGTTGGAGCACAATGTCCTCGCCGGTCCCATGTCTCCCCCACACTCGGACTTTGTTTTTCTCGTCATCTACGAGCTTCAGCCAGAGCCTTTCCGCGAGAAGGTGGTCTTCGCAGATGTGTTCCGCGAATGCAAGAATTCCTTCTTTTTCCGGCCGGCCTTGGGGGTCTCTAGTAACCTGAGAGAGGTGTGAACGTCTGAATAGGTTGGACTTGCCGACGACACAGGGCGCTACTCCAAGAGTGTTGATTGCGGTGTAAAATTTACAGTGCGAGCTGGCAAGGAAGTTTTCCTCCAGTCTCCCCCCACCCATAGCCCACCATCGTGACCAGAAGGACTTTTCCGGGGAAGGCACGATGGGCCGCGGCAATAGCGGCGTTAAGCTGTTGCCGGCGGAGATTATAGGTGATGATGGTATGGATAGCGGTTGCCGGTATTTCCTGGAAACGTCGACACAGAGAGGCAAGTGGTGGACCAATTTGTAGCCCTTGCCATCCTGATCGAGTCCTTCAAGCATGCGAACACTTCGATCCAGGATTCCAGATGGAACCCAAATATTGCTATCCAAGATCCACACGATATCCCCCTTGGCCTCCCTATATCCTTTGCTGAGGTTCCGTATCTTTGGGTTGGGTCCAACGTCCTCTTCGCCTACCAAGATCCTTGCATTCGTCTCTGAATGACTAGCAATGACCTGGCGAATAATGGGTATCGCAGGGTCATGAGGAGAGGCCACGCAGAGAACCAACTCATACTTCGACTTGGGATAGCGCAGCAAAGCAGTAGATTCCAGGCATAATTGCAGGAACGGGTCGAGACCCTTGATGGGACGAAGAATTGAAACAAATGGAAGTTCCTCAGAGACGCCATGAGTTGCGGGTACCGAAGGTGGGGGTCGTGAGTACATTCGTTTCCTAGGGATAAGGAAATGTTAAACAGATTCATCCTGTTGGCAAACCTTCTTCGAGGGGACAAACATTCGCACATGGCCTATCATGCAGACAGCCCATACAAAAACGAACCAGAACAGAAACGCTCTGGCCAGGAGTACTTGGACTGTGGAAGGAACAAAATGGGACATATCATTGGTGGTGTTGTGCCCCGATGGAGGCATAGGAACGGCCGAGAGGGGTGAAGAAGCCATTGTCCGCAGACGACCCGGAGGAGGAAAGGTTGAGGTGAACAAAGTTGGAGGAGGAGGGAATGTTGCAGAACAAAAGGGGTTGGGCCGGTTTGTGCGGTTGGTTCTTGCGGAGGCGCTGAGGCTTATTACCAATTAATTGACGCAGCGAACAGACGCATTCCCTTTCGGCTTGGCTCAATGTAACGAGCTGTCTTGGCGTCGATCACGGCCAATCAGAGGGCAAAAGACTCGCCATCAGGTCTTGTGCACAGGCAACTTTAAAGTCTAATTTGATGTCCATAGATGGCCCCTTATGGCCATGTTCAAGCGAAGGTTCGGAAGTATCTCCGGTACTGTAAGTTACTGTACGAGTACTCGTACTGTACCGATATGATGTCTCGACCCCAGAGCGCGTGAGTTTAGCCGTGACGAAGTCTGGTACGAGTGGAAGAACCAGCAAGGCCTGTACCCTGTATCGCTTCCTCCCGTACAGTATGATATTATGATGGTCCACAGAGAGCTTCCAAATTGAACCCGGCACCCCTACCGTACCGTAACTTACCGCATCCCCGCGACCGGTGAAGGCGCGGGAAATGTTGTGCCGCCCGTGTCGCTGCGGTACCCGGGACACAGGTCAGCAGGTAACTTTTTATTAGTCACTGCGAATCCGGAGACCTGCAAAGTTCAGACCATTGTCATGCAAACTGCTAGTTCTGGCGATACCGGCAGCCATGATCGCACCTACGCCCATCATCACTGGACGGTGCTGGGGGGGCGGGGGTGGCGTCTTAGTCATCACCGAACGGGACAGTTCCAAGAAATGGCCTGGTGCAATATACGGTAGCACAGTACCGGTACCAGTACCGGCACCAGGTGGGGTGCGGGGATGCCCAATATTACTCATACATGATGGGTCCACAGATATACTTCCCTGTGGCCCTCTCTCAATTCGGAAGAACCAGATTACCAATACTGTACCTGTATTCATTACTTGGTGTCGGGCCCGCTCCTACCGGTATTTGTGTGTGTGGTTGGGGCAGCTGATCAGTCGTTAGAACCCAAATACGAGTAGATTCGCTGGTAGTCTATGGACAGAAATATAGCACATCATAGTACTCGCGCCCGGGACGAGTCATCACTGCACCCTCACCCTCGCCACTCATGTGCTTTATTCACGGCTCTCACTCGACTGCAGTCTGCAGTCTGTTGGCATCTAGAGTCGTGTCGGGGGCTCTGCCGGTTCGGGGGGTATGTCGGGAACCTAGGTACGCCCGTGGTGTGGATTTGAGAACAAGGAGGTATCGTTTTCTATGAATACAGTAAGTTATACCTAGTCACAAATATACACTGTCTGCGTACCCGAGTTCCCGACATAGCTACCGAAGCGACATAGCACCCGACACGATACTAACCTCTGGGGTTGTCGGAGTAACATTAAAACTATCAGGACTTGAATTACTCGGGGTGCAAGAATTTGTCGTCTCAACAGCCCTGCTAATTCCAAAACAGGCCACATGTTACCGGACGCTGTGCGTGCCCCGGCACGAAAGTATGATACTCGTACAAGTACCGGTACTTGTATCGGACCCATACAAGTGTTGCAGATACCCGAACACCGAGGGTGCTCGAGCGCAACCTTCCTTGATCGCACGATGGTATGCCCACATGGTTGGCTATCCGTCTTTCCAACCCATGTGTTCGGGCGCCCCGCCTAAGAGGGGCAAGGGAGAATGGGGAATTTGCCTTGGCCAAAGGAGCACGCAGCCGCGTTACCGCATGCAAAATTCTGTAGCCTAGGGCATTCCCTTCCCTTCCACCTCTCTCCTCCCATACCATTTCTCCTCGCCAGACCGAACCCTCCGCCTTGGATTTCTGCGGGGTTCATGCATTTTCGTTGTATATTTCTCTGCCCAATACGTGTAGACACGGTAGGTTGGGTTTTTCTTATTGCTGGTCCATTTTCTTCTCTGAATTACGCCATCTGCTCACCCGGGCCACCGGTGCTCTAGATTTCGTTGAAGGTTTACAATATCTAGAGATCAGGCTGGACACTTTCTGTAGCTTGGAAAGACTGAGTCGATATACCACCGTTAAATATGTTCCCCCCCGCGCAGCAACTGGATATTGATGCAAGAGCCATTAGTGGAATTACGGGGTTAGAACCACCTACTTGATGTCTGGGGTCTGTTCCACGACTAATCGGATTGAGAAAGGTCGATATCGATTGCTTGTTGGATAGTGGTTTTCTCCCCGCAGATCATCGCCAATGTTTGTCCCTTTGTCCTGGTAACCGTATTCGTGGAAGAGCTAATGGGTAGGGTTCGCTCAGTTCCGGCGAGGGTCGGCTGAAGGACTTTCTTTGGCCTTTCTGGTTGTTTGGCTGGTTGGAGACGTTTTCAATGTCCTTGGGGCTGTTCTGCAGGGCGTATTGCCTACAATGGTGAGCAGGTTTACTCGCCCATCGGGTGGTGATTTGGTTTAGTTTTTCTATCCGTATGAGAATTTTTGCTTATAATATGATGACCGTAGGTGATGTTAGCCCTTTATTATACCCTCGCGGACATAGTTCTCCTATTCCAGTGCCTCTACTACAACCGCGTCAACTCCCGCAATGCGACTCCGGAAACTGAGAGTTTGCTCCCCATCTCGAGCGGGTCAGCTACTGTTGTTGATGGATCGCATCTCTCTCCCGCAACACCGCTTTTAGATCCCGCAAAAGAGCCTATACAGCCCGAGCAACAGGGAGTGATGAGATCCATCTTTTTTAATGCCTTCTCGATTCTCATGGTATGCCTTGCCGGTGTCCTTGGTTGGTGGGCAAGCAATCGCTACTCGGATAGTGATCCTCCGGCGGAGGGTGACCATAACGATCTCTCATTTTCCGTGCTCGGCCAAACTTTTGGCTATTTCTGCGCTGTGCTATACCTGGCCAGCAGAGTTCCTCAGATTCTACTCAATTACCGCCGGCAATCCTGCGAGGGCATAAGTTTGCTATTCTTCCTGTTTGCATGTCTAGGAAACATGACGTATGTGGCCTCCATTCTAGCCTATGTTCCCCACGGCGGGGATGGGATGGGCCAGGAGTACCGGCGTTACATTGCCGTGAACGCCAGTTGGCTCTTGGGAAGTATAGGGACACTTTTCCTAGATCTCATTATCTTTGCCCAGTTCTTTTGGTATAGGAGCACCGAGGAGGAATACGAATCTTCCTCCGAGGATGGCAGCTAAGAGTTTCATCGAAAGGCGTTTGAACACACGGTGCACGGGTTTATACGGGGCTCAAGGCTGCTCGCATTAGCATGGATTGTATTTGTTTCCTGTTTTTTTTTTTCCTTCTCCCCCTCTACTCCTCTATTCTTCCCGGGCTTTGTAAATTATCAAAAAGGTGTTTTCTTTTACATGTGAGGATGGGCGGCGTTAGATAGAAATTACTATCGCGCTTTATCACCTCCAATGATAATTTTGGGTTACTTCAGGGTCTGGTTCGCGGCATCGTACCCTGTGATAGAGATGAGTTCCATACCCAATTGTATGCCATAATTTGACTGCCCACACGCCATTCGTGCAGCCGGGTAACAAGGCTGCAGGGCAGCTGTTGCCATAGGTGGAGAATCAACTGGACCACGCGGCGGGGCCCCACAATAAATGGCCCTATCATACTCGTATCATACTCGAGCCGTGCTACGGGTAGAACCAACCTCCACCAATCCGCCAACTCAACCATGTCATCCTCAACACCCAAAAAGCGCGGAGCACTAATAGCTATAGAAGGCCTCGACCGAGCCGGAAAATCCACCCAATGCCAACTCCTAATGGACCGCCTGGCGGAAAAGAACATACCCGCCCACTTACAAAAATTCCCCGGTACAGCATTCCTTCCGCCCCCCGCCCCCCGCCCCCCGCCCCCCCATTTGCCTTCCCCAAGCTAATCTATCAAACACCCAAGACCGCACAACCCCCATCGGCAAAATGATAAACGCCTATCTCTCCGCCGCGACCGGCCTGGAGGACCACACGATCCACCTCCTCTTCTCCGCGAATCGCTGGGAACTCTCGGCGCGCATCCTGCAACTCCTGAACGACGGCGTTACCGTCGTGCTGGATAGATACGTATACTCCGGCATCGTCTTTAGCGCCGCGAAGGGGCTTGGCCTGGACTACTGTCGCGCGCCGGACGTGGGCTTGCCGAGGGCGGACGTGGTCCTATTCTTGGATCTGGATGCCGAGGTGGCGAGACGACGGGGCGGGTTCGGTGGTGAGCGGTATGAGGTTGAGGAGGTGCAGAGGAGGGTTAGGGGTTTGTTTAAGAAGGTTGGAGAAAGGGAGGTGGACGGGAGGTGGAGGGTCGTGGATGCTGGGCGCAGTGTGGAGGAGGTTAGGGAGATGGTTTGGAGTGCCGTGGAGAGAGTTGTGGAGGAGGTTGTGGGGATGGAGATTGGGAGGTTTGAATAGAAAAGTTTGGATCTGGAGGGTTTCTTTTTCAACTTTTTTTATTCTCTTTTCTCTCTCCTCCGATTGGTAAAAGTTGACAGGGGAAATATGAGTAAAAGTGATTAGCTGTACATTATGAAGGGGGAGGGGTGACCGTATATGAGCAGGTACAGGTAGAATCCCGGAGGGTTATGGGGGTAAGGAGGGAGAAGAGGGGAGGAATAAATGGACAGAAGGGAAGGAAAGAGTAAAGGAAGAGAGTAAAAATAGAGTGAAAGATAAATAAAACGCCGATATCCAATCCATTCCCACAGTTCCCGTAGCCTCGCCACGTTCCAAATCCATCCGTCACCAGACTTTTCTTTTCATTTTTTTTTTCTTCTCAGTCCACGTAGAATACTCAATTGCCGTCTATTCCCACATTCGCCTCTCAATCCCTCAGCCACGCCTTCCTCTTCTCTTCCTTCCTCGCACGACGCTTCTCCTGAAAAGCCTTGACCTCCTTCCTAGTCAGCTTCCTCGTCTGCCTCTCAGCCTTCAAGCTCCGACCATCATGTGAGCTTGCCGCGGCATCGACGTCAAAGTAAAATTCCATCTGCCTGCGGCTCTTGTTCTCGTCATTGTAGTTTTCCGGCGCCTTGCCATTAGCGCCTTGGAATTTGCCAGTGAACCGGTTGAACGCCGCGCGGGAGACGTACTCCTCTTCCGCGGGCTGCGTTGCGTAGGGCGCCGTGGGATCGTAGTCGCCGTGGATGGCAGGGTTGTACTGGATTCTGGTGGAATCGGAGACGGCGGTGGGGTCGATGGCGGTGGGATCGGTAGCGGCGGGGTCCAGAGGGAGGGATTCGGTGGGAACGCGTGGGTTTGTCCAGGTTGTTTCGCCAGTACGGTGATTGAAGAAGTAGTATGCCTGATAGGTCTCCTCCCACACGGGTGCCCAACCATCATCCTCGGTTGCATCCCCTGGAGGGGGACCTTCGGGTAATGGGGGGGGGGCGTCGCCAGCGGCGGCCTGTGCGTGTCCATTTGTGTCGGGAGAATCCGCTAGAGGCTCATTTGGCGGTGGGGATGCCACTTCGCCTTCTTCTTCATCATCCGGATCTTCTCCTTCGTCCTCTTCCCTCCCACTCCCCGAGCTCTCCCCATCTTCTTCCTCTCCCTCTTCCAGCTCATGAGAATTCTCATCTTCGCTGTCAGACTTCTCGCTAGTGTCAATCTCCCCTTCCTTGTCCTTTTTTCTCTTCTCCTCGGCTTCAACAGCTGCTTTCACCCGATCAGGAGTACGTGATTTTGACCGCGAGCGCGCAGATTGCGGGGAATGTGAGCGCGTGCGTGGGGAAGACATTGCGAGTCTCAGGTGAGGTCGGCTGCTCGATTTCCGTGATGTGTGTATGTGTGTATGTGTGTGGGTGTGTGGTTGTGTGCGTGTGTGCGTGCGGGTGGGTAGGTTGTGGTGGGTGCTTCGCTTTGTCGGGTTTTACGTACCGTAGGGTAGGCTGTCGGGATTTGTGGTGCAGTGGGAGGAGTTGGATGGAAACTATATTGTAAGGGCTGCGGTTAGGGTTGGATCACGTGATAAGCTTGTCTTGGACGGAGGGAAGGCTGTGGTTGTGTTATGAGGCGCACCGGTATACTGTATGCATCAGGTTGCATAATACGTTGCGCGGTGGCCAGTGTGCGTCCTGGTGGAGAGTTAGGAAGGAGGGTGAGAGACTAACTTGGCGGTGGAAGGAAACGAGTGGCGAGGTGACAGGACTGGTCACTGCGGTACTCGAGTAGATCTCGGGGGCACGCTAATAGAGGTTATCTTCCAAGTGCCGTGTTTGGGGAATGGATGAGGAGGTGAAGCGGGTGATCGTTTTTGTGGGTTATGCTATCATTCTACGGATGGGTGGTGTGGTGATACCGTCCTCTGGGGAATCTTGTTGGCTTGCTGCGGTGGTGCTGGCAGCGGTTTTTGCTTTGGAAAGAGGCGGTATACGTCATTCTTCACCGGGGGAACCTACAGTATCATATTCTACTCTGCGGGAGTTGCGGATCGTGTGTTGTGGAGTTCCTATGGAATTGTATCACGGGTATCAGACTGCAGAGATCAACTGAAACCTCAGAATCCCAGCCTTCCCCATGAGGTTTCCCCGGATCCCATGGGACTTGTAGATGACCCGTTTCGGGCCTCTCGAATATTCTCAATTGCTAAAAACAAGCTCCCTTGTGATCTTGAGCCCCCGTAGGAGGTGTAATTTAGCAAGAAGTAACGTCGAGATAGCCTTTTAAGCCGCACATCGCGCAATTATGGTGTCATTGTCAAAAATGGTCACGTGAGATACGGTAGGGTAAGTTTGACTCGGCGCTGGTTCAGTTTTTTTCTTCCTTTCCCACCAGGTTGTTAATTTAGCTTGACTGCAATCTTGAGAACTCAAGCCTCAATTACTTCGCAACTACCGCCCACAGAATAATTGAGAATGGATGAAGGACCGGTAAAGAAGCGCAAAGTTTCCCGCGACGCGGCTGTTAAGGAGAGGCGTTCGGCGGGGAAAGATGTGGAAATTATGAAGGATAGGAAGAAACTGAAAGCTGCGGAAGAGAAGCCCGAGTCTGAATCCGAGGAGGGACGGGAGGGCATTGAAGAGGAGCATGAGGATGATAAGGATAGCGGTTCCGAGAGCGAGAACAAGACCGTGGCTAAATTAGTTCCTGATACCGCTGGGCCTTCTAAGGTTGCACTAGTCAAGAGCTTCGGGGAGTTAGTGAGTGGCATTTCCTCCATTCCCACACTTCCACCATGAGTGCTGATCGAAGTTTAGGGAGTAATGGATTCGCTATGTGAAGCCTGCGAGAACCTCGGCTACAAGAATCCTACCTCCATTCAAGTCGAGTCGATTCCCGTCGCACTGGAGGGAAGGGACCTTATTGGCCTGGCGGAGACGGGAAGTGGAAAGACGGCAGCCTTTGCGATTCCAATACTACAAGGTATTCCTAGGCATATCTTACCTTCTTCCAGCGTGTTTTTAACACCTATATACAGCGCTATGGGACAACCCAACTGGCCTCTTTGCCTGCATTCTAGCACCGACCCGCGAACTGGCCTTTCAGATCTCAGAGCAGTTCGAAGCTCTTGGTGGCGGGATCGGTGTTCGATGTGCAGTCGTTGTTGGAGGTATGGACATGATGGCACAGTCAGTAGTGCTCGGCAAGAAACCGCACATCCTCGTTGCTACGCCGGGACGCCTGCTAGATCATTTGGAAAATACAAAGGGCTTCTCGCTGAGGAATTTGAAGTATCTTGTTATGGACGAAGCGGATAGATTGCTGGATATGGACTTTGGCCCCATTCTTGATAAGGTTCTGAAAGTTATCCCCAAGACGCGGAGGACATATTTGTTTTCGGCCACCATGACTTCGAAGGTCGAGAAGCTACAGAGGGCTTCGTTGTCTTCGCCGGTCCGGATCTCTGTTAGCTCCAAGTATTCTACCGTTTCGACGCTTATACAGAAGTTCCTGTTTATCCCATTTAAACATAAGGACACCTACCTGGTTTACCTTATGAATGAGTTTGCTGGACAGACAATCATTGTATTTTGCAGGACTGTGCAGGAGACATCTAGATTGGCTCTTTTACTAAGGCATCTTGGCTTCAGGGCAGTTCCTTTGAACGGCCAGATGAGTCAGAGTGCACGTTTGGGAGCACTGAACAAATTCAAGTCGGGCAGTAGGAATATCCTTGTGGCGACGGATGTGGCTGCGAGAGGCTTGGATATGTACCTTGCCCCGGATGTTCTCTTGTGTTGCTGCACGCTAACTTTTTGCCAGTCCCTCAGTAGACTGCGTATTAAATCATGACCTAGCCCAAGATAGCAAGACATACATCCATCGTGTTGGTCGTACTGCTCGTGCTGGGCGTTCCGGACGCTCAATATCACTCGTCACCCAGTATGATGTCGAACTATTCCTCCGAATAGAAGCCGCCCTTGGAAAAAAGATTCCCGAGTTTGATGTCCGGGAGGAGGACGTCTTGATATTCAGTGAGAGGGTGGGCGAGGCGCAGAGGGAAGCGGCGAAGCAGCTGAGGGAGGAAAAGGAAAAGAAGGGTGGACGAAGGGAAGGTAGAAGCGGGGGCATAGGAGGCAAAGGAAAAGCGAAGAGGAGAAGGGACGATATGGATCGGGAGGAGCAATAGGATGAAGAAGGACATCACCTTCCCTTCCCACTGTCGCTATAGTGTGGCACTGTACATACGAGGCAATGCAGACTTTTTGTGAATTTTCCCGTGTGTTTTGAGTCCTTGGTCATAGTTCGTAAACGATTTGACTGGCTTGTGGCCCTTGCACAACCCGGGCTCGGGCTCCACAATCCAGTTCATGCAGTAAGATTTGCTGACGCCTTCAAAGTCTCTTGTGTATGCGTTGCGCCGGTCATGATCTGGAAATCTACAAGCATCTAGGGTTGCGCTGTGCCCTATTCACGTGATGCACCGTTTGAACCAGTCGGGCCTGGCCTCAGCCCTAGACAGTGGAGAGCAAGCAGGGATGGCAGCACAGCGCGGCATCTAATTGGATGTAGTTCTCTGCTAAGCAAGATGCCCACCCGATAAGAACAACTGGAGAGCTGGTGGGGGCAGAGATCGCGTGCGTTTGGAGAAACCAGCTCGAGTATGATAGGGTGCAGCGCAGGAATGGTACTGGCACACAAAAAGCACTTGGGAACACGATTAATAGGAGAGACTCACAATTTTGTCGGACCAATGCTATTTGCGCGAGTGCCAGAATTGCTTGTAGCGGGGGGGATGCATTGTTCGGCTGAACACTTGGCGTGAAAGAGGAGTGGGGTTAGGTAGGCTGCAGTATTGAAAATCTTGTGTGATGGTCGTAAGATGGAGAGAGCAGGAGGGAGAGGCAGCCTTCGTCCCTTTATCACCGACGGAGCACGTAAAGGATGGTGACCGAGCTTGGGCTCTGTAGTTGCCTATACGTATCCTACCGAATTCTATAAGTTGGCGATCGACTATCCCTTATAGAGTCTGGAATCCACGATCACTTTGGTGAATCCTATCTGGTCCTTTACGATACTTGTATGCTGTTATACGACCCGTGAGCCATTCCAAGCGCATCCCCGTCGTATCCCTCAACTTTGCAACGGACCCTCCAACCGAAGACGCCGCTACACTTCCCCCCCAGAGCCCTGTCTCTCCTACCACCGTGTCGGGTGGTCGTGTTCTGATAATCTCCCTTCCTTGTACTCCAAGTTCCGTGCACTCTCTCAACCTGTTACTTCCTTCCCCTTCCCCCTCCAACACCTTCCTTCTCAACAACGGGGAAAATCTTCTATCCTCAGCCTCCTCCCCCTTCCGCTCTCAATAGTTCACCGGAGCTTCCTGTTGTCTCTCTCGCTCCAGAGACAACCCCGCTCAGTCCACCCCTCACTCACTATCCCACCACCCCTCATTCCGCTGCTCGGCCTCCACGCAACGACCTCTCTCGCCAGCGAAAAAGGGAAAAAAGGAGGAAAATACATAAATTATCCGACAGTGTCGACGTAACGGTCTTGAACTTGGTCCTTATACCCCCTTATTGCAATGGCCGATCCCATTGCATCAGCGGTGGCTATGGAGAATAGCAGAAAGCAGGAGAATGCTATTCGTGCTGTGATTGATAAGAAGCCGCCGCCGGAGATTGATTTCACTCTACATACCATGGAGGATGGGACTCAAGTTTCAACGCTTGAGCGGGTTTGCAAGGGTATGTTCTGCGAGTTTGTCCCTTTCGCTTCCGACTTTTTATCATATTGGATGTTGCTATCCCCCCATCTCACTCTGCCTATCGTTTGCCCCTCCTTACGAGGGATGTTCCTGGTTACTGGCATCTTGCATGAAGGTTTATCTCATCTCCTTTGCCCTCGGCTTCGAAGTGCTTGATGAGAGAGTATCCGTTTTATGTCCACCCGACTTTTGTCATCCCTTGACGGGTTTGCGGGATTAGGCCTATTTTGTGTTGCCTGTTTCTGCGTTTGCTTTTTCATTGCTACAAATTTAGTTAATCATTTTCCCTTCTCTGAAATAGATGTGCAGGCACCCGCATTCCACAAGCCTACAGATGAGCAGTTTTACGACTCTAATGACCCTACAAAGCCGGATCTCGCTTTCCTGAAGCAGCACTTTTATCGCGAGGGTCGCCTCACCGAAGAGCAGGCTATCTTCATTATTAACCGCGGTAGTGAAATTCTTAGAACCGAGCCCAATCTCCTGGAGATGGACGCGCCGATCACTGTGTGCGGCGACGTTCACGGGCAATATTACGACTTGATGAAATTATTTGAGGTTGGCGGGAATCCGGAGGAGACTAGATATCTGTTTTTGGGGGATTACGTCGATAGAGGGTACTTTAGTATTGAGGTGTGTTGCTTCCTTCTTTCCGGGTCATTCTGGAGCGAATTGTTGTGTGATTTCGAGTCTAGTCTCACTTTGGTTTGAAAAATAGTGCGTTTTATATCTTTGGGCGCTGAAGATCTGGTATCCCAATACCCTTTGGCTTTTGAGAGGCAATCATGAGTGCAGGCATTTGACAGATTATTTTACCTTCAAGTTGGAATGTGGGTCAATTTATTAACCTATATTGCTTCCTTGGGATTGCCTAACGAGGATTCTCTAGGTAAACACAAGTATTCTGAACGTGTATATGAAGCTTGTATGGACAGTTTCTGCGCCTTGCCGCTGGCAGCAGTTATGAACAAGCAGTTCTTGTGTATTCACGGTGGATTGAGTCCTGAGCTCCAGACCTTGGATGATCTGCGAAGTGTACGCCATGACCTTCTTATATATTCGGGAGTGCGGGACTGACTGTGACATAGATTGACCGTTTCCGCGAACCCCCCACCCACGGTTTGATGTGCGATATTCTTTGGGCCGACCCTCTGGAAGAATTCGGACAAGAGAGAACTTCTGATTTCTTCATCCACAATCATGTTCGGGGTTGCTCCTACTTTTTCTCATACCCTGCTGCTTGCTCGTTCCTTGAAAAGAACAATCTGCTCTCAGTCATCCGTGCGCATGAGGCACAGGATGCAGGGTACAGGATGTACAGGAAGACCAAGACGACTGGATTCCCTAGCGTCATGACCATCTTCTCTGCGCCGAATTACCTTGATGTGTACAACAACAAGGCGGCTGTTCTGAAATATGAGAACAATGTCATGAATATCAGGCAATTTAGTACGTTTGACCTATCTACCGTATTTATTTATTTCATGATGTCTCTCCGGGGTTTGAAGTGCTAATAACGCTGCCGCAAGATTGCACCCCCCATCCTTACTGGTTACCTAACTTTATGGACGTTTTTACCTGGTCACTTCCCTTCGTTGGTGAAAAGAGTGAGTTCCTGTTCTCGGACGGTCCAATCAGATGCTAATTGCAACTCCCACCCCTAGTTACCGATATGCTCATCGCTATTCTCAACACTTGCTCTAAGGAGGAACTAAATGAGGATATGCCTCTTTCCCCTTCATCTAGCGACCCGTTGTCCCCTCCTCCTGAGCCTGAGACCGATCCCAATAGCCCAGATGCCAAGCGCCGCGCTATTAAGAATAAGATTCTCGCTATTGGACGTCTATCCCGTGTCTTCCAAGTCTTGCGTGAAGAATCTGAGCGCGTGACTGAGCTCAAGACTGCCACTGGTGGTAGACTTCCGGCCGGAACGCTCATGCTTGGGGCAGAGGGCATTAAGGATGCTATCACTTCCTTTGAGGAGGCAAGGAAGGTCGACCTCCAGAACGAGAGATTGCCTCCAAGCCATGAGGAAGTGGAGAAGAAGGGTAAGGAGGCCAAGGAGGAGGCAATGAGCCGTGCTGTGAGGGAGGCGGACAACGACAAGGAGTTGAACAGAGTGGCAAGGAGGATCAGCATGTAAGTTTGAAAGCCTCTTCTCCGAGTAGAGGCAACTTGCGCTATTATTATTACCATTTTGCTATCGATGGTAGGTAGGTGGAAATAAGGCTAACATTCACTCGAGGACAGAGTCTAAGTCAGGAGGGAGCGGAAGTTCGAGCAAAAGGTGATCAACTTAGTTTGCCCGTGTGAAGGAGGAGGGAGCAAAAGGAATGGCATTTTTTTCTTGGCTAGAATTCTATGATCGATGGGCGGGGCGGGGAGGGTTTTCTTCTATGTTTTCTTCTCACTTGTGTTTGGGTCGCCTTTGGGAATAGCCTTTCGTACGGACCAATGCCGACATAAAATGCCAATTATATATCCCACCCATATTTTGTATTCCCCTTTCTACTCTCCCCCACCACTTTATACAGCCCCCTTGTTTCAGTCTCCTCTTGTATAATCAATGAGAACAAAAAACCGTAATTCCAATCACCCTCTTGTTTTCATATCCACTTCCAATAGTTGTATTTTGTTTATCTTGGCTTGGCTGAGCGAATGGCGGTTTGTGATGGTATGGTTATTGATTTTCTTTGGTAGTTTTTTTCTTTCTTGGTTTCTTGAGTGACTCTCGACTTAAAAAGGTAAGCTGTGTGTATTCTTCGCGCAGTATCATATATAGCAGAGGTAGATTTGGGGGTTTCTTTATTGAGTTGTGGCACTGGGTTTTGTTGAAAGGTTTATCGGGGTATCTGATGGGTGGAGTAAGTACAGACTGAGATGACTCGTGCTGCGCTTGTACTAGTCGCCCGTCACCCATATCGTATTACTATCAGTGGCCCATCTCCCGCCCCTCACGTAAGGGACAAATCAAAAAAAAAGTAAGGGAGGCAGTAATATGATGGGGATCACCCCCAGATAACAGAAATAAAGGAGTTGACGCAAAACAAGGGGTAAAGAAAAAGGTCTTGCTGGGAGTCGAACCCAGATTGCGGGAATCAAAATCCCGAGTGCTAGCCATTACACTACAAAACCTGTAATTGTTGAACATGAGTGGTGTTTGCTGGATTTATTTTCGAGTGATAGGGCCATACGGTTGTGGGAGGAGGGGGTGAGTCACGTGAGTCACGTGTGTTTAAAGCATATTGGGGGGGGGGGGGGTGCAGGAAGGGTTTGAAGAGCGTTGTGGGCGGAAGGAGGAGTAGGATTCCGGAGATGGAAATGGTTTATTGGAATTTGGGGGAATGAGGTAGAATAGCTGCTTTGCTCAGGTGAGTACTATAACTGCAAAGAGGTTAAAGACGGATTCTGTTTTTTATTATTGGCACCAGGGCTGGAAGAGGAATGGTTAACAAGAAAAAAAAACCATTTTAGAAAGAATCAAAGCAATGAAAATGAATATTAGTTTTGGACTATTATAATAATAACCACTCTCTCAAATGCCAGGAATAAGAATTTTAACTTTAAAGAAATAATACTACAATTATGAACTTGAGGGCCTAAGATATTATCATTAATTTTTAAGGATTTAACATATATAGAGGTATTCAATATATAAACTATAGTGTAGGGGTACTGTTTAAGCAGAAATTATTTTAGAAATTAAGTTTTTATCTAGTATCATAGTTGGAAGAAGAGATTTAATTTTTTCCGAGCATTAGTTAATTTGTGTTAGATAAATATTTGTTTTACTTTAAGGAATAGAACTGATACAAGTACTAGATCATATTTTATGTTTGTTTAAAGTATTATTTAATACTTAATTATTTTGGACTTCTAGTCATAGAGGATATAGTTGGTTTCATCTAGTTAAAGACAGCTAATTTCTGAAATAGAAATAGTAGACTTTAGCTGATAGTATTTCTAATATGATTAGTTTTTTTATTGAATAGTTTTCCTTTTAAGTACTTATTTCACCCTATTGAAGCCCCTTTCAACAAAGTAGTTCCTACTACTTGTAAATTAACTAGTAGACAATTTCTATCATACCTAGTCTAAGATGTGGTTACTACCTTGTACAAATATATTATAAGTTATAACTTTTAAATAGTCTTATAATTAGTGAAAAAGAAGTTGCAATCAGTATTTTATAGTAGTTAAAGTATAAATCTAATAAACAATGGTCCATACCGGCAAGTTAGCTGAAAGATCTAGTAGACTTCCTACAATTAATCTACTATTTTCTAATCATTAAGAGATAAACTGTTAAAGATCTAATATACTCTTCCTATAAGTTCAACTCAGTACTTTTTTAGCATCTTTCTTTTATAAACTTCTTTTAAATATTTAATTAGTTTTAGTTATTATACCATAATATTATTATGTAAAATCAAATAGACAAGACTCGGAATTTACTAATTATTTAAAACTAAAACCTTACTTACTAGTCTAAGTTTTATAATCAAACACATTCTGCAGTGTGTAGTTATAATAAACCTGTAGAAATATAGTTAAGAACATTATTGTGGAGCAGAAGAGAACAGGAATGGGAAAAGGAAAAGGAAAGGGAAAAAGGATTGAAAAGGATGTTTCAGGATCTACATAATATTATATAACCACTATATAAGCAACAAAATAGATTAATGCTCCCGATGAAGATTCCTTACAATAAAGTTTCTCAGAAAAATTGTACTAAGCATATCTTATTTCCTTGAAATGGTGATAATATGTATTTAACTTACCCCATGATTTCTCTCTCCCTTGTTCTGAATAGCCCGCTTTTTTCTATCTGTAGACAAGAGGATCCATTTAGCCATACCGCCAGATATTTGTTCCGAATTGACGGGGCCGTTTTTCTTACTTTATCATTCTCCCAGTCAAGGCCCCGGTTCTACTCTTTCCGGACTTTGATACCCCTAGTTTAGTTTGAGCATCGTCGGCTCCCGGGCCCTTGTTTTCCGGCGACAATCTGTGTCATAGGGAGGGCGAGTCTGGGGCCCCTTCTTTAATATTCAGTGTGTGATCAGACAAGGGCATACAGGTAATGGATATTATGCTCGTACTGTATTGCTCTCCTTGGCTCCTTGAAGGTGTCTGCAGGTTTGAATTAGAGATCAACCTTGTGTCTCAATCGGGTAACGAATCGGGAAATGTGTTAACTCGTCACCTCTCCCATCGGTCACACAATACTGGTGCCCCATGAAATTCAGTGATTGAAAGTGTCAGACATTCTTAATGAACCACTAATAGTTGACGGCCAAAAGGTCCGTGGGTCGTCCCATAAGACGGACTTAGATTCCTGTAGTGTACCGTACAGGCATGGTGCAATGGCACCCACTGTTCTGGTTGAAACGTTATCCAAGCAGATAAGTTAGGCCATCAATCCCACTGCGAGTGCCGGTATTCAAAAAAAAAAACCTATGAGCAGGACCCTGCAATATGTTCCCCGGATCCATGAGCCTACCCCACCGCCCCTTTTCTCTGCAGTCAGATGGAATTTAGAGCCCAGATGATAACTTACCGGATAACTAACGGTACTCCCCTCCTCCTCCTCCAACCCACCCCCCGGGTTCACTCCTTGTGAGCATTCCCGGAAAGTTCCAGCCGCAATGCGTAGGACCCGTGCAAGCCACGAAAGTAAAGATTATTTTTCTACCCGCACTGCAGAACCCAGCCCCACAACCAGCCCCCAGTGTGCCGGGAAGCTCCTCGACACAACATTCTTCGTCGGAGCTCGAGGGCTCGTGATGAAGAGAAACATTCAAACCCCATTAAATTGCGTTTCAAGAATAGAAACATGTGGCGACACCTTTGCTCTCCACACGGACATGGAGTGCCGTAGACTACCGGTATGATAGCGCGCTCGAAGGGTGCCGTAAGCAACAGGAATAAGCCCTAAGTTAGGTTGCCCCGCAAGTGGCACTCTTCCACTTGGCATGGATTTTATCGCTAGCGCTGACTCGATTATGATATCATAGCATACCCGAGCAGATGGAGGGTATGTACAGTACTCGTAGGGCGAGGGTGGTTTGAGAGGGGTAAATTTAAGGATAAGCTCCGGGCTGGACAACGGATGGTTTGTGTTCTTCCCCCGGGGTTGTGCTCGTAGAAAGTCTTGTCTCTAGAACTCTACCGGTGCCCGAGTAGCACACAGTCCTCTCTAATGGTATTGGACGACTCTACTGGACGAGGTTATAGTTGTACTTGTAGGACCCTCACTATTCGCCAGTTCTGTGCTCACAATCTAGACATCGTCTCGTCCCACCCTATCGGCAACCAGAGGGGGTTTGGGGGATGGCGTACCAGTACTCGAGTACTCGAGTCTCACACCCAATCCCACCACGGAACATTCCCGGGGCTGGGTTTTGCAGAACAGGGCTACCGGCACAAGAGGATACGGTATGATAGGTGTTGTGATCGGAGGCTGTGATCGGGATTGCGATAAGGTTTGTAAGGAGGACCGGTCTCAGCACCACTATTTCCCGACATCCTGCCATCGGTACTCGTACTGTCTCATTTGCCACATTGCGCGCACCTGAAGTTCTAGCCCGCACGATTCGGTGCTACCGGCGCAAGTGGGACCACGAGTACTCGATTACAGGTACCGTACCAGTATCAGAGCCAAATATTGAGAACTTGGGCGCCAAGGCGCATAAATTTATTCCTAATCAGCGTTCCCGCAGCGAGCGCCTGTGAGATAGGGTTTGTAAAGCGAAGAATTGCCTTCCCCCGCGATCTAATCAGCGCCATTAATAAAGCTCCCACTCTACTTTTGGCAACAAGCGCACCGCCCACCCATCCATCCCTCTCGACGGTCCGTACCGCTTACGCCAAGCCCTTCTATTAATGTACCGTAACCCCAACCGTGAAGAGCAACCACCCCCTCAAGCAGTCCAAACAACCCAAGAGGGTAATGGCAGAAAGCCAAGGGCGTTCATCCCCTCCCTCCATCCAATGCTTCGCACAGACCATGGTAAGGCGCACTCCCATTCCAAACACCTGCCCTGACAAAAGTGCCTGTACCTCGCATATGCACGCTGCGGAGACCCCTCTCTCTTGCAGAACACACCTCCTGCCTCCCCTACGGGACTCTCGACCAAAGGTACAGGTACCAAAGTATGGGTTTCCAGAAGACGCTGTTGTGCAGTACGCAAGAATACCAGTACGAGTACGGTAGTAAAATGAACACCCAATTAACGCAATCTGGACACGCTCAGCCAACTGGCGCTGCTGATGTTCTTGTGGCGGCTCATGCGCACCCGCCAGTGCTCGCACCGCACCGCACTCGACTGTTGGGCGAAATGGACACGCTTCCCAACGTCATTCTTGAATAGCAAAAGGGGGGCCTGATGTCCCATTCCTTTTTTTTTTTTTTTTTGTCTTTTTCTTGGCTCACGGAGGAAGAGGGGGGAGGAGGTCCGCAGACGATACGCTCCTTGTGCGATATGAGTCTATACTGCCGTATACACGTAAATCGATGTCGCCCTACGAGTCACCCTCCTGGAGCGTATTTCACACATATAACTCGGACGATGCCCCCCGGTGGTGCTGGCTTGATACATTGAACCTACCGTACATACCTATTATCACACCGCTACTCTGCAAAACCTCGATCGATACAAACATCCCGCATACAACCACACCCAAACCCCTCGTCCTGGTTCACCCCTATACGCTACCCGGAGAACTATAGACCAACTCCGGATAAAAGAACGGAGAAAACAATCATGCCCTTCATCCTAGGCATAATCCTAGCCTGCCTCTCCCTCCCGCTCATAGTCTACGCCGGCGAGCGCACAACCGGCCGCAAGATCCCGCGGCCCCGAATCTTTCGCTCCCTCTCCGCCCCGACCCCCTACACCAAGATAGAGCGCGAGTCCTCCCCGGCCCCTCCAGCAAGAAGACGGACGATGGACTCGGCCAGGCGCGTGGATACTACTCGCTCCGATGCGTCGTGGGATACTACGAGCACCGGGGAGACATACGTGAGGGGGGTGCCACTCGAGGTTGACTGAGTGTGGTCAGACGATGAAGAATAGTGAACAGGGGTAGGAGTTGGGGTGGTGGGACATGATTTGTGGGGTAATGACAGGAACGGAGGCTTTAGGAAGGAGGGGGCATGGGGGGTTGAGTCATTCTTTTGAGTGGGCTTCTTTTGTATGGACTGTTTTTGGCGCTTGATATCGGCTCGACCAGTTTTCATTGTTTTCGTTTTGTCCTATTCTATTCTATTTTCTCTCCTTTTTTTTTCTTTCTCTCTCGCTCAACCTGATGGTTTCCTTGATTAATAAATTTCCCTATGATAACATCTGCATTTTTTCCTTTTGCCCACGATACCTTTTGCATCAACTTGACCATTTTGGGCGTTATCCTTGTTTCCCCGTTTTCCTGCTCTTGCTTGCCAATTATATACCCTAGATTGTCCGCTCAACCTGTTCTCAGAGAGTTATATACCCTGAGCTTTGTTTTCAGTTTTCAGTTTCCTCCTGTGTGCATTACTCGTAACTGTCGTTCGTATTATAAATTCAACACTCTTTTTTTTCCTTTTGTATGTCAACTGCCCCACCGCGGTGTGACCCGTTGTGTAATTGTAAGCAAGGGCGATCTGCACTTTCACCTGGGGCCATTATTGTTCCGCGAGGGGTGTCGTCCTTCCCCCCGCTCAGAAGCACTTGGTCACCCAACATTGTAGGGCTGCACGGTACAGGATCCGGTGACCTGCGGAATCGAGCAGGGCAGAGTGAGGCAGCACCGGTTTACCTGGGCGCGCCTCCCTGGTGCGGCGTGCGAGACGGGCAGGAGGTGGCGGCTGGAGAGTATCGGAAACTCTAACGAATAGGTATATAATAGCTTTACAGTACAGCCCCACGCAGCGCTATCCGTCGCAATAGACATGCTCAGGGAGGCGGATATCCGCTTGGGTTGAGCCCCAGCGAGGCACGGCACCACTGAGCGAGGAACCTACGGGAGTGATGGAGGATACGAGGAGACTTGAGGCAATTGTGCTGCTGCTGTGTCGTATCGTGACATTACCCGACAGAGTGTCCCAGTGATCGAGTGTGTTTAGGTACACGCCTTTGACGCCATCCTCGCAGAACGCCTTGCTGAATTAGGCCTCAAGGACCCTAGACAAACCATGATACCCGCACTCCAAGAAGGTATCGGCGTACCTTGGCACCGATAAGTTAGAGCCCAAGATAGAGGCATGAAGAGTATCCAAATCCAAACTGCTCAAATTGCTCGTAACAGCTTTTACGCCTAAAGCTCAGATTGTTGGGACTCAGGTTTGTTCCCCCCCACCACGGGAGACCGTGTCAGGATAGGCGGATTCTTAGGAATTGGCGGGCTGTGAAACGGCCACGGGATCACAACACGAGTCACCCCGGATGACTCATCACGTGATGTCGTCCCCAAGCACCACACAGAGCCTCCTCCACTGTTTCCCCTCCCTCCACCCATTAATCCACCCAACTCAGCAGCAACCCCACCAACCAACCGACCACCCACCAAACAACCACCACCACTCGAGCCAACTGGAGATCTCAATTCGACCAAAAAAAAAACTACATACAACGACATACGACCGCAATGCCGCTAACGATCCTCCGGCGACCCCCAGACCTCTCATCCTACACCCTTCTCTCAACCCACCAATCCTCCACCCCGGCCTCCTTTCAAATTCCAGTGCTACACTTCCACGCACCCTCCACCACCCTCCTGATCACGCCAGAGAACATCTCCCTCCTCCCCATATTCCCCGACGTCTCAACCCCCCCCTCGGACGCACCAGACCAGCTCCAAATTCCCAAAATCCAACTCCTGATAACCTCTCAAACCCTCACCCTCTACAACGCTCCCTCAAAAATCGGTATAAGTCTGCCCTACCCATCCATCACCCTCCATGCCATCCAGAGGACCCCGCACGGTGCTGGAATTTACATGCAGATATCCCTCTCCCCTGCCAACGCTACAGCTCACACGAATACCGACGAGTATGACCAGGACGAATTGCTGGAGATTACGATCCTGCCGGATCCGGCTGGTGGGGAGGAGGAGGAGGAGGGAGGGGGGGGTAGTCTCGGAAATTTTTAATGCGTTGAGTGTTTGTGCAGGATTGAATCCGGATGAGGTTGGGAGTGGTGATGAGGACGAGGGCGAGGACGAGGACGGGATATTGTGGGAGGGAGATGTGGAAGGGGGAGGGGAGGGGTTGAGACTTGAGGGGTTTCCAGCCGGTGGAGGATGGATTACAGCGGAGAATGTGGGGGATTTTAGGTTTGGTGACCCGGTTGAGGGGGAAGTGGGGACGGATGAAGAAGTTGTGTTGGGCCCGGGGGCTGGGACGGTCAGGTTGAGAGATGAAGTTGGGGGAGAAGAGAAGGCGGGGGAGAATGGGGACGGGACGGATGAGGCAAAGTGGAGGAGGACGGGGTGATGGGCAAACCATTTAATTATCACCCTGCCACCGGCCTTCAAAAAGTGACTGTAGTTTTTGATATGATTCTCTGCCGGTCTAACCACCATAAAATTATAGAGCTCATTGAGCTATATCTCTTTTAGCTTATCCCATTGTCGTAGCGGATTAATCATTACACCGTGCAGCCTACGAAAACCTAGTCTGAACTCTCCGCCCTCTTACCCCTCACCTCACTTAGACTCACCCCCCCTTCCAGACAGTCCTCCTCAGTCTCCCCATCATCAACCATCAGCACCCCTTCCTCATCCGCGAAAAACCTACTGCTGTACCTCCTCCTCTTCCTGCACCTCCCATTCATGATCCCAAGTCCCCCCTGTAAATTTAAACTACCCTCACCAACCGTGGTAACCGACTCCAGACTAATAGATATCGGCCTAGTCTTGGGCGAGTAATCCATCACCAACGACTCCCGGATAGTGTCACCTATTTCAACACTCGAACACTCAAACCTGTTCACCGGTGAGCCGGCGGGCGAGAAGGTGAAGGCGGTAGCACCAGGGGGAGAAGGGAAGGTGAGGGGCGAGAATAGATTGAGCGAGGAGAACCGAGTGTCCGCCGAATTTCTCATGGTGGAGGAGTAGTAGTTCACCATTGACAGTGTCGGGGAGTAAGTGCTTTCCACGCCACAGAGCGCTCTGCGAGAGGGTTTGACAGGGAGGGCACCCAGGGGTCCGAACTCCAGCTCTGAAGGGGGGTTGGGAGTTGGTGGGTAGCTGTTGGGTGAGGATATCGGGGAGCTCAAAGCCGTGGAAAAGAATACGTCGCCGGGACTACCTTCAAAGTTCCCTCGGAGGGGTGGGGGAGATCCGAGGGACAGCAGTTTGGACTGGGTAGGCATTGAACAGGAAAAGTGGCGGCCCGACGCCACATACTGGCCTGAGACTGCGCTATCGCGGGACGGTCGGTCAAGAAATAAGTCGCTAGCACTCGCTCTATCGGACAACGCGGTATCATCGAAAATATTACCGGACAAGGACGGGGACAATGCTAGCCCGATATCTCCCCATGCAGCAGTAGCACCATCGCCGCTACTAGCATCCTCTCTACTCAAAGGTGAAGCTACATCCTGGAACAAATTCCTGGCAAACGGATCATCCGCGCCACGCCGTGAATGCGGAGATGTGAGTCCGCCGGTAGACGGAGACTCGAACGACGATGACGGCGACCAGTCATCGACACCCACAGCCACCCCCGCTGCCGTGGCCCCGCGGTAGAGTTTCTGGGGTGTATTCCCGACTGTGTAATTCAATATTGACGAACCGGTCGAAGAAACGCTAGAAACTGACGCCGAGTGGCTGGATGTAACCACAAACGCATTGTAGCGATCTTCACTGTTTCCACGTTCACCAGGTTCTCGACCATCACGGTGCTCGCTCTGTTTTGAGAGCGCTGGGTGGAAGAGCGATGGACTGGATGCCTGTACGCACCCGGACTGGCGAATGGAAGACCTCCGCGCTGGGTTGGATGTGCGGGGGGCCGGCGTTGTGAACGAGTCGGATAACGATCTACGACCTCCCCCGGGTAAGAAGGAGTATATACTCGCGCACAGGACTGTTGGCTCCTGATTCCGCTGCCGCCCCGGTGGCCACATATAATAAGGGTGCGGGAATTGTGATTCTCCGCGGAGTGAGTTCTCGTGCGCCGGAAATATGCACCCAGGCACGGGTAAGGTCGTGGAATTGCACGCGCTGCTGGTGGAAACGTGGCCACCCAGCACAGGGGATGAGAATGACCGATAGGCTAAATGTGGATTTGGAATGCCATGCGCAGCACCCACCCTGAATGGCTCCTGGTACTCCTCCCCGCCCCACGACGTCCGCGGGCTAGAATGGGGCCGGAGCGAATGATGTGTCGTGAAGGGCTCCTTGGGGCAGACTTGGTCTTCCCAGGTGATGTGCTTAACACCCCCCTTCGAACGGGCACTTCCATCAGACTGAATTCGGAGGCTTGACGGGTGGTCGCGCTCCTTTGCATTGATTGTCGGGGCGGGTGATCGACTCGGTGCTCGGTCCGTACCCACGATTGAGCTTTGCCGGGCACGCCCAGTACGGCGACGGCGCTTGAGCGCCATGAATGCCGCTACCAGTACCACGAATAGGGCTATCGCCCCGCCGGTGGCCATACCCACTATTGCCAAAGGCGGCACTCTGGCTTTCTCGCTTTTTGCGACGACCGCCGGGACTTGCGATTCCTGGACCGACTGGGATGTCTCCCGCGCTGAAGGCACAGATACCAGCGAGGTGGTGCCATCCTGAGTAGGTGATACTCTCGCATCGCCCCACTCGAGAGAGGGAACTATGGAAGGAGAATCACTGGAGAGTATCACTGAGGGAGCCTGATGTCGGGAGCTCGCGACAACAGCCGCCGTCCCATAGGATTCTGCGGACCCTATCGATGCCGAACCCTTCTGGAAGTAGGCCGAGTAGATATGATCCGCAACGGTATACGTTGGCAGGGGATTCATGCTTGCTATCCGTAACCGTCAGCCAGAACCCCACTACCCCAGTCCCCCCCCCCTCCTTCACCATGAAAAGGGCCTGTATACTACTTACCTACCGCTCTTCCGGGTACCGCCCAAATTATTTAATTGGATTGGTGGGTAAAAAAAAATTAATACAAATCTCAAAAAGTACCGAAAGGATTAGAGAATTAAAAGAACGAAAGAAGAGGAGAAAACACGAGCAATGCCGGTCAAGTGACCAATTTACAGATCCTAAAAGAGTGTGTTGATACTACAGTATCGGGAGTAAAAGAGCGAAAGCCCGTATTGCGCAGAAGTTATCCAAGTGAAGAGAAGAGAAGGAAGGAAGGGAGGAAGAAAGGGAAAATCAGGGAAATCGAAACATAGTTTTGATTATATCAGTCCCCCCCCCTTCCCATTTCACAGAGCAGGAGTTGATAATTTGGATCTGAAGTGCGGAATGAACATGTTGAAAATGCCTGCACCAAAGAACGTAAGGGGTGGGTTCAGGCACCGTGCCGGTATGTCCCACCTACAGTACCGGTACTGTACAGTAAATTAGCCTACCAGTAAAGTACAGTACGGCATTACAGTAGTATACCCACCGCAAAACCACCGCCCGTTCGTATTATATTGTCTTGTCTTGTCCCACCACTAGGGGAGGCAGGCAATGTGTGTTATGACCATGATCACCCAGCCACAGGATGGCAGTATTATGACAGGACCTGGAGGAAAAACATACAGTATGATATCATATCGTACCTCCTCACGCGGATTATTGGCCTGCTATGGGAAACTGCTGCCCTTGCTGGGCACACAATATTGCGGTGCAAGTATTGTACTGTGCATACCCGCGAGACCCCCGAAGTGGAACAAAGAAGAAACCTTTTGCCCGAACACTTGGCACGCCGACCACCTCAAACATCTGCGGGAGAAAGAAATAGAAAGAAAGAAAAAAAAAAGATTTACTATACTTTTACCATACCGGGGAGGGAATCGTCCGACTTGAACTAATCTTCCAACTAACTGACCGTACTGTACCTGTACAGTACTATAGGCGCACACTAATAACCCCCACCACCGTAATCTCCCGTAACGGATGAAAGTTGCATGCCAATGGTGAGAGTCATTCTCGCGCTCCCTTTGTTTGTCACGCGGCGGACGGACAACACCACCACCACCACCACCCCCACCTCCTTACATCCATTCCCCACTAGGTAAATTGTTACAACAACCCTTTTGGTCGGGGAGTGCGTCGCAACATCCACAGCGGTATTGTGACTGACCGCATGCGTGGGTAAAGATGGATGGGCACTTTTCGGTGCCGCTGGCGAGAATGCGTGATCGCGGACCCGTATCATGCATGGGCTGAAATGGGGATCTTTGCGGAGCTTTGGGGTAGGGAGAGCGGCAGGGTCATGGAAAGTCACTCGGCAAAAATCTAACAGTTGGGGGGATTTCTTCATCCTCTCGAAAAGCTTCGTCGGTCATTACTTCATTTTCCGGATTTCGGGGAAGGGGGGGGGGGGGCGGCTGGTTAGAATCACTGCACTTCTTTTCTTCTTGTTTTCATTCTTCTTTCCATCGTTACTTCTGTCCGTCGTTCCGTTCACGAGCGGAGGCGCCCAAGTACAGTGCTGTGCCTTAAGCGAGTTTGGGCAATGATATCCCCGCCGTGTTAACGCGTTTCACAAATCGGTTCGGTGTGGTGCTTCTTCCATCTTTTGTATCAATTGAACAAGTCCCGACCGAACACTCCATCCATCCATCCGCTACGATTACTTCCGTCATGGTCCGAAGATGATATATAGTTGGCTAGTTGAGTGAAGCTGCCCTCATATGATACGAGGCTGGAGACACCACCGGCCAAAGTGGCCTTTTCTCTTTTTCACAGCATTTATAACAGCAAGCCCCATTCCAATGGATAAAATCCAACTCCGACAGCGAAAGCCCAACAAGAGCATTCCCAGGAACTTTCCCCCGCTTTCCAAATTTTCACGGATGGATAAGCACCTCGTCTTTTGGTATGATAATGTGTTCTGTTGATCCAACCTGCATCATAAAAAAAAAGAAATGCGATATTGGGGTCCCGGCCATCTTTGCGTTTTTGGCCATCTCTCAACCATCCTTGGGGCCGATTCCAGTTGACCAAAATAGCAATGCATATTTCCCTACTCGTAATAGTCTAAGCCTTTAGCTTTTGCGTGTGAAGGGTTGACATGCTGTACTGTACTATGTACAGGTATCATGGATTTAAGTCTTGTATGATATCATAAATATATTATTATCCTACTTGGCATCATAAATTATAATATCTCCTGTATTTTGTGGTAGGGCTAATCGAGCAAGAGAATCTAAGGGTTCAAGGGGGAAGGGAGTTGTGGTGATGACATTGTCATAATAATTATTATTGAAAAAAAGAAAAGGAAATCCTTAACGGCGATCAACCATCTGGAAGAAAAATTTGAATTTCAACGTCGGCGCTCATCCAGTATGATAATATTAGGATACTGTGCAATTTCATAAGCCCGTTGGTATCCGTCAAATCTACCCTTCCTTTCCTTCCGCTCGACGGATGTGCGAGTAGAGAGAGAGAGAGTTACACAGATCCTGTCATCTACCAACTACCATGTTACAACCCTTCGCCGCAGACACATATCATGCGAGCGAGTGAGAATCCTATACACAAATCACCGGTTAAAGAAGAGAAGGGAGGTTTTTCTCGACGAATCGATAGATGAGAGCACCTATAACGAATCCTTTTAGAACCCGCTCCCTGGAACGGATATGTACATGTATCGCCTTTACCAAACCATTCACCCTCAGTTCGAGCCAAAATGGAACAAGAGAGAGAAAAACATGCATGGTCGGAAGAAAGGTTACAAGGGAAGAAAGGTAGTACCGAAATGTTCATCAACCACTAGTTTTGCGTAACGATACTCCACATATAATTCGCCCCACCTAGAGTGCAAGAAAAAAAAGAACCTCGAACAATGCTAAGAGGATCCCTAGTTATCAAATACAGCCCCCCCAATGGTAAAGATAATACAAGATAAAGATAGAAAAAAAAGATGAGGGAAATTAAAAGCCTCTAGAGAAAGAACACCCGATCTATTCGCCAAACCAGCATAAAAGGGAAACGAGTATGAAAAGAGCAAGATGGTAAGGGGAGCAAGGGAGATGAATCAACACAAAAACCATCTTTTATCCTTCTCAGTCTGGCCTCTCCTTTGGGCAACCTGGCCCAACGAGTTCTTGATTGCCTGCTTATTAAGCTGCGGGAAAACCTTTTTAAGATGTTCAATCATGGCAGCCTTCGTCAAGTCGCTACCTTCAATGGCTCGTTTGAAGGCAGCCATATCCTCGGCAGGTATTAGCTGCTTGGGCTTGGGCTGCTTCGAGGGTTCTCCGGTGACTACCTGAGCGGTACTAACGGACGCCCCGGGAGGCGGCATTGTTGATTGGGGGTTCCTATTTCCTGTTGCTTGGAAGAACTGGCTCATGGCCTTAATCGGATTATGAACTACCTGCGCGGATTGCAGCTGTGGAGGTGCTACAGGATTCCAGTAACTTGTCGAAAATGGATCAATAGGTCCCGATACCCCGTCTGCGATTATATATAAACCATCAGATACGGAAAATAGATATTGAAGAATTGTAGAGCAAAAATATATACCTATTAGCATACCGAGACTCATCTCCCCAAACTCCTTTCTCGGGTTTTTCCCCATAGGGTCCTCCCAGCACAGACCCGAACAGATGGGAATAAGGGTGGATACTACTCCGCGACGGTTCTTGCTAGCAGCGCCCTCCTCATCCTCATCATCTAGGAACTCCTCGAGATCCTCATCACCACTACCACAATCTTCATCGTCCTCTTCGTCGCTCAAGAGTTCTTCGCCATCGCAGTCCAAAACATCCTCCCCCCACTCGGCTTCAGAATCATATTCGTAATCGACTTTGGGTAGTGACTTTTGAAAGGGATTGCGGCCGCGCAACAAACCGGACGAGGCGGGTTTTCTTGTGTAGGTCCCGGAGTAGGGAGGCCGAACATCCTCTGCAAACCGTAGGAACTTAAAAGGGAGGGAATTGAGTAAGTCAAGATAAATTGTAGGGAGCTTGTTTGGGTTGATACCCTCGAGATCAGCTAGAGGTAGTAAAGATGAACTGTCAGGTGTATTAAGCCTGATAAGGATGTCTTTCGTAGAGTATTTGGGAGGCTTTCCACGGGGAACACGCTTGTGGTAAGGAATATGCATTAGCTCTTCCATCCGTTCGCCCGTACGTGTCTTACCAGCGCCTCCAGAAGTAGACTGGCCGGAGCCGGATTCACAATCCGCGGTAGAACTCGGCGGATCTTTAGGGGGGAAGAGAGCGTTATCAAGTACATTTCTGATAACAAGCTTGTAATCATCATCACGCTGGAACGGTACAGGAGCGACGATAACATTTGGTTTCACAAAAAATGGATGAAAACTACGTTCATAATCCGTCCGCTCCCGTCTCTTCAGATCAACATCGGGTGGAGGCGGGGGAGGCGGGCTATCACCAACTATTTGGGTTGACGTGTTGGTAGTTGAAGAAGGGGTCGATTGAGGTTTATTCCCGACGGTAGGTTTGATAAAAAACGACCCGAGACGCATTTGTGCCTATTCCAGAAAATTGATAAGTATATGCACCCATGCCCAAAAAGTCCCTCTGAGAAACCGCTACTACCTTCTCTTTCTTAGTTTGTTCATATTCCCTTTTCCTCCTCTCCTCATTCTTAATACGTTTCTTCTCATCCCGTTCGGCTCTCTGTAACGATCAGGTATCAGTCAACATCCTTCAGGAGTGGAGTATGGCGCAGCACAAACTTTAGCAAGCCTTTCTTTTTCCTTAGCATGCCTCTCGTTCTCCCTCTCCAGTCTCTCTTTTTCTCTAGCTTCCTTCTCAGACTCGGTCAACTTTGTCCGTTTCTTGGCTGGCCCAGCGGCGCCCGTACCGATAACCATGACGTTCACATCACCGTTACCGCTATCCGGCTGACTGACGTCTTCTGTTCTTGTCGGATCACTGCCCGCGCCCGAAAGTGATCTCTTCTTAACAGGATTGGGTGCGTCAGGACTGGAAGAAGTATGCCGCAGGGAGTCCGGACATGGTGGAGTTGAGGCTGGTACGGGACTAGACATTGTAGGGGAGGTACTAGCAATTGAGTCACTCCTAGCGTATTGAAGTTTGATTGTTTCCCAGAATCGAAATTTGAGGTAGACTGGTTGAGGTTTTGCGGGTGGAAGAATGATTGAGAGGGGGAAACACGCTCGGTGCTCCAGAAGTGAAGGGAACGCGTTTGTACGCGCCAAGAGGCTCATTGGTTAATGGCTTTCCAGCCCAATTCATCAGACGGCTTAAATTTAAGCCCCCGACTGTTACCGATTCCAGTGGAGGCTGAGAGATCGGGATCTGGACAAGCGCAACTCACCTATGGTAGACTATCTGTTCACTATGCATCTCACAACACTGCAGTCGCTCCACCGAACTGCAAATTTCCTAAGTAGCTAGAGAAAACTATCGACATTATATGAGCCTTAAGGCTAACTCCAGGTATCCAATACCAGTATAGTATAAGAAGGATAGCAAGAGTATAATATCTTCAACATGTCCGAGCATTGGGAAGAGAAGGTATCAAGAAAGAACTGCACCAAAAAGGGAGAAGGGAAAAAAAAGATAATATAAAGGAAAAACAAAATAAGAAATAGGAAAGGAAAGCAATGCTACAAGACTTGGCTACCATACAGCTTGCATGTATTGTATAGTTTTCAATCCCAGCCCTGCAAAAGAGAGCAGAAGAGTGCAGGAAAAAAAACAAAAACACCTAAACCCTACCGGCCTATGAACGAATGCAAAACTCAAATACCTAAAAACACCCCAAGCGACTGACAAAATATGAACCGGAGCAAGAATAATTACAAGATCAATAATTTTTTAGCACAATGGGAGGCCCGCGGGGGCGTAGAGGGATGAGTAGGGAGAGTGAAGGGAAATGATTGAACGAAACTAGAAATGAGACCCTCAAATACATGATGAAACTAAGAACTTTTTGACGATTAATAAAAGCCAGCCCGAGTGAGCGATGCCCCTTGAAAAGTACAGGGGAGTGCAAAAGGGGGTAAAGGGAATGAGGTAAGGAGGTGGAATCATGTATACAGTCGTCAGGTTCTATCCTATGTGCAAATCAATTGCCACGACCCCCCGATTGAGTGATGGAGAGAAAGAAAATGGCTATTCGACATCTGGATTCGCCACAAACAGCCGGTTTCCGCTAAGGGTCATAGTCCTGACAACCTCCTGTTCGTCCAAGCTACCCTTTCTCCTCAGAGTATTGTCACGCCTCGGCATAGCAGAGCTTTGGAGGGAAGGCGTGTAATAGGGTCTTGGCGGAACTGACCCGGAAGGGTTTTCGGGTAGCTTTTCGCTCCTGGGCTTTGCTTTCGTTGTGGGGCCAGGGGCTCCTTCCTCTGCTATAGATGACCTGGACGAGTAACTTGGAGTACTTCCTCTTGAGTTGCGGTGTTGTAGGCCGCCGGTCGCGCCGCCGTGCACGGAGAAATTTCGGTTAGTGTCAGACATCATTGACGACGAGCGATTTGTGCGTCTGTGATTCGAGTTGAGTGAGGACTTTCCAGAACCGGAGCGTTTGCGAATTCCTGCACCTCCGGGGTAAAGGTCGTCTTCATCATCGTCACCAAGAACCTCCGTAGCCGATAATCGGGCAGGCACCCCGCTGGGTAAGCTTCCACCGCCGATGCCGGGACTAGCTGTGCTGACCCAAGTCTTTCCCAATTTTCCAGTTCTGCCACCCGATACAGAGGATGCTGCTGACCCTGTTGCGGAGCCGATCCCGTGATGATTATACCCCGCACTGAGGAATGCGGAGCTTGACGAACCGACAACCTCTATGGCTGCGCGGAGTTTCGCAGCTCGTTGAGCGGCTAACAGGCGGGGGTCTTCATGCTGTGACCTATCGCACCAAACTGTTGCTTTCTGTCTCCTGAGGGTAGCCACGTAGGCACTCTGAGCCGATGTCGAAGCGGAGTTTGTTGTACGGGTACTCCCAGATCGTCTAATGGTGATGGGTATGGTGGGGTCCATGGCTCTACCCCTCGAGTTGCTGGCGACCGAGGGCCGGCGGTTCATCTGAGGGTTTTGTAGGTAGTTGTAGTTGTAATTATTGTTGTAGTTTTGCGGGTAGGCCTGCATCCCTTGCATTCCTTGCATTGGTAAAGTGCCAGACGAGGAGGTACGGCGACGAATGTGCGATGCCGGCGAGGTAGAGGATGGGGGACGGTACGAGTTTTGAGAGGAGTGGCTAGGGCTGGCCCTGAGACTATTCTTTGTTGGAAGCGGAGGGGGCGCATCAGGCCCTGTTGGTTTTTTATGTGGGAACTGGTAGGCGGGAGCACGGTAGTCCACCATGACGATTACCGAAATAGATTGCTTTTGCTTAACGGAGGCAAAGGAAAAGGAAGCAACGTGGGTGGGGGTGGGGGGTTGGGATAAATAAGAGTTGAATACTGGGCGGGCGCTGGTAGAACCCCAGATAGGCGGCTCATGTGAAAAAAAAAAAATCGAGTCAACAGGATCTGACAATCCAAGAAAGTACCGGTACCGTATTGTATTGTGATAGCGAGGTGAGTGACCTGTTCGATGCGAGAGACTTTTTCCGCTGTACTTGTATTGTACTTGAAGCTGGATGGTACGATAACGCTGCAGGCCCCGGAAACGACAGCCCAAAATGTCAGCTTGGTTTCTCCCTTTCTCTTTTCTCCTCGCCTCTAACTCGTCTCTCCTCAACTTGTTCGTTGTGACATGTTGGAGAAAAAAAGGAAGAAAAGAGGGGGATAGGATGGGCGGTAAGAAGGGGAGGGAAAAAAAAAGAAAAAAGAAAAAGAAAAAGAAAAGAAAAGGTCTCGCTCAGTACCATATCATATCAGACGGTGAGCACTGTGCGAGTCCGGTACTGTACTCGTACCGGTACCAGTTGTCCATTCATCTCTGGACCAACTCGAGCCTTATTCCACCGAAATGCAAAGAAATGTGGCGGAAAATTGCAGGAAGGAGTGAAGGGCGAGGTTTCCTACCTTCGCTTCTGGTGCCCCGTTTGACTTTTGTCGACCCCTCTTCCTTATCCCGTGCTCCTCCTCGCGTCCAGGTCCAATACCCAGGCGGGTGTCGGTAGGAGCTGATCTGATAATAATCAAGATTCAAAAATTGGGATAATTGCTTCCAGCAGCGTGGTGGTAACGGGATTTGAATCCGGTCCTCTCCTCTCCTCCGTTGGGGGATGCCTGCCTGCTTGCCTGCAATGCGGAGATGGTGCTCTCCCCCGTTGCCGCTGTGGTCGTAGTTGTCGGAACCCACCGGGGTACTTCCGCCGTTGCGGAGTATCGAGATCTCGATTTCGGTCAATCTTAGGAATAGATCGCTGTCCCCGATCCGTTTCTTGGACAGGAGGGGACGGGGAGGTGGGTGAAGATAAGCAGCAGATACAATGCGGTAATGCTGTAAGTAGGGGAAGATAAAGTGCTCGAGTACTCGAGTACTGTGTGGGTAGGCAGGCTAACACGGTCGGCTGCCGACTGATCCTGCTCCAGCTAAGACCTCGTATAATCGTTCCCGCCAACCGTTTCCAATCTCTCGGTCAGGTACAAGTATTAGGCCTCGATCGCCGTTTTCGAACGGCCTCCTTCCAACGAATGGGGTCGGGATAAAAGAGGAATTTAATCCCTTGCGCCTCAATGCCGTTTAAACGGGGGGCTATAGGGTCATAACCGAAGAAAGGGTAAAGCAATAAAGGATAAATAAAAATTAAATAAGGAGAATGCAATCAATGCTGATATCGCCACAGTACTTTTTCCGCAAGCCGTGGATCAAAATGGAAACGGTACTGTACGAGTACTGTACACAGGTGAATAGTGGTATCTAGCCTCGTGCGGCTGTGTGTTCATGCTTCTCTCTCCCTCTCTCTCTTTTCCCCTCGCTCAGTCAAGATCGCTTTCCTATAATCGTTTCGGTTGATGTGATAGTTGGGAGGGTTGTTGACGGTGAAGGCGAGGATTGTTTTATTTTTATTTATTTATATGTTTATTGACATGGCTCAAAAGCTGACATGCACCTCACAGTATGGCAATACAAAAAGCCATAATTCTAATATAAACAAAGGAGATCATACTCCAATTCACCTATTGTTCTGGACGGGCCCCCAGTCTCCGATTCCCCATACTGGCCCACACAGGCTAATGCCTGGTGATTGGCCACCAGTTAAAGCAAGATAGCCTCTCATCTAGCTTAATAGTAGGATGACTGACAAAAATAATGAAGAAATCGAAGAAAGCAGGCTCTAGGAATATACATAGTAGAGAAAACTATCCAACAGATGTTGAACCTGAGGTAAACTTGAAAAGCCCGGTAAACCTGTAAACATGCCAGGGTGAAAAAATAAATAAATCAAAGTAATAAATGAAACCAAGATTACTGGCAGGTAGTGACTACATCGATTTCCTTAGCATCCCCCTTATGAGAACTAATGGAAATTGGTGTGAAGTATAGGAGGCAGGTAAGGCATTAGTGAAAATAAATCCTACATCAGATGTGTGGGAGCCATGTCTGGACACAGGGTGTTTTCCTCCTGTGTCCCCTGTGTCCTGTACATCTGGTCTTGCATTGCCATGGCCAGCTGTGTCTGGTGTGTCTAGTACTTAGGCACCAAGTATGATTGCGTCTTGTACATCCTAGTACTTATCTTAAGAAGTGCCATGTCCAGATTGCATACTAAGTAAGTAAGGCTACCTAGTTACCATCCGGAGATTCTGAGTGATAAATACAGCTGCCAGCTGCTGTCCCTTTACCACTCCCCTAGTAGCTCTCCTCCTACTGCCTCCCCCCCTACTGGCTCCCGCCTACCAGCTCCCCCTCTACTGGCTCTCTTCCTATTTCCTTACCCCATTTCAGCTTCCCCCCTACCAGTATCCTGCATACCACCTTCCACCTTACTGCAAGTGGCTCCTCCTACCACCTCTCCCCTTATAGGCTCCACCTCCTAGTACCTCTCCGGCAGTCTGGACTTTGTTGTTTACTTTGCCAGCTTTGCCAAGTCAGCGAGATTGTCCTAGTTAAGTGCTGAGTTTGGCATGGGATTCTTTAAGCATCCTTTGGGCATGGCATCTCATATTTGGCAGTCTAATTCTACCTGATACCAGGTCTCTAATGGTATCCAAGAAATCTACTTAGCATCTATATTGGTGGAGTTATAGCCTGTTATGAAAGTAGTCTTTACCCTAGCAGAGTACTGAGCTTGATGCTAGATTTCCTAAGTGTTCTTTGGTTGTAGTATCTGATACTTGGCGGCTAGATTCTGCTCAATGCTAGCTTTCCAATGGTACCTAGGATGTCTACCCGGCACTAATATTGGTAGAGTTAGAGTCCATTATGAAAGTGGTCTTTATTCTGGCAGAGCTGTGGTGGAGTACTAACTTTGATACCAGATCCCCCAGGGGTCCTATTGGTGTAGCATCCGATACTTAGTGGCCTGATTCTACTCAATACCAGCTTTCTAATGGTACCTCAGATGTGTACCCGGTGCCAATATTGGTAGAGTTATGGTTTGTTATGAAAGTAGTCTTTATCCTAGTAGAGTTCTGGCAGAGTGCTAACCTTGATGCCAGATTCTCCAAGTGCCCTTTGGGTACAGCGTTTCATACTTGTTAGCCTGATTCTACTTGATGCCAGCTTTTCAATGGTATCTATGACATCTACTGAGCACGAATATTGGAAGAGTTACAGTCTATTATGAAAATGGTCTTTACAATGGTAAAGTTTTGACAGAGTGCTGACTTTGATACCAGATTTCCTGGGTATCCTTTCGGTGCAGCATCCTATACTCAGCGGCCTGATTTTACTTGATGCCGGCATTCCACGGGTACCTAGGACAACTGCCTGGTGCCAAGATTGGTGGAGTTACAGTCTGTTATGAAAGTAGAATTTACCCTGATAGAGTTCTGGCAGAGTGCTAACTTTGATACCAGATGCCCTACATGTTTTTTGGGCACATCATCTTATACTCAGCAGCCTGATTCTACTTGATGCCAGCTTTCCAACAGTATCCTGGATGTATACTTGGTGCCAATACTGGTGGAGTTAGAGTCTGTTATCAAAGTAGTCTTTATCCTAGCAGAGTTCTGGTAGAGTGCTGACTATGACACCAAATTCCTCAGGTGTCCTATTGGTGCAGCAGCTAAAACTCAGTGCCCCAGTTCTACTTGATGCTGGCTTTTCAATGATAGATTGAACATCTATCTGGCACCAATACCTGTGGTGTTATCATCCAGGATGTAGGGGGTATTATGTCCTAACTAGGAGGGGTGGAGCTTTTCTTTTGGTACTCTGTATCATACCACCAATATGAATCCAAATAAGCTTTATTTTGATACTTTCACAAAATACATGATAATATTATGTGACTTAGGTCACAATGTCCAGTCCTGGCACTGCATGCTGAAAATTTAGTAGTACTCCCTTGTATTCTGGGAAAGACTAGTACTACATTGGATTGCATCTAGAGAATTCTTGAGAGTACTCAGTTGCATCCAGAGAATTCTTGGGAGTACTCACTTGTGTTCAAAGAATTCAGAGCATACTTGGTTGGATCCAAACTTCAGGTGCCAAGAACCATTGCATCCTGTGTTGGAAGCTTGTATTTTACTAATGGGGAGTAGGCTTTATAGAGATTATTATCTCCTGGACTGGAAAAATATTGGAAATTTTGTGCCACCCATGTTAGTTTTCGAGACATAGATGACTGTAATGACTCTATATTATAGAGCTATGGTGACCTAAGCCTATGCCCATACATAAGACCAAGAGGTTATATGGCAGACTAGGTGGGCATGCTAGCCCATGTCCAAGGGATATCCGATGGTCCGGGTATCCCGAAGAACAGAAGATACTTCAGGAATAGGTGTACCTAAGTAGTGGAAGTAATAATGTCATGACTCAAATTATGAGTCAGTGGTTTCACTCAGGTGACACAAGTTGTGCACCTGATTTGGTTATTACGTTTTGATTGGTTTTAGGCATGTTACGCAGTGACTCAGAGGAGTTAGCTGATGGATTTCACATGACTCATGGTTATGAGTTACAGGATTCGCATGACGTGAGGTATGAGTCACGCCAGGTAAAGAGCGACTATATAAAGAGTCAATAGGACCCCGCGTATGACCTCCTCACATGTTCTGCTTGTTTATTTCCTACCTTTAAGTTTTTACAATAAAACCTACCTTTACACTCTTTAAGATTTATCTTAAGAAACCCAAGAATTGTCTTTCCCCTCACAACAAGCAAGAGTAAGTCCTAATTGTGGACCTAAGAAGATTAAGGCATAGGTTCGATAAGATAGAAGTCACAGGACTTAGCTATTGAAGTTGCATGGGCAAAGGCCTAAGAACTATCTGGTTATCTGAGTCAGAATCATTACCCATCGCACCTCCACCACCAGTAGGATTCATAACATTAAAACATGTCTACCATGCGACACTTAACAATTTCACCACAGATCCTTTTAATAGAGATCAAGAAGGAGACATAGACTTATAAGACGACAGTTTAGATCTAGAAGGATTAGAAGAAGTGCTCAGCGAAGCAAGGAGACACTCAGCAAGACAGACAAGGCCAGTTACACCTGAACAAGTCACACCTCCAAACGAAGAGGAACCACCAGACACCCCTAAACCAGAAAGAATGTCGGGACCAGCACCACTCCTAGGCCCACCTCTGGCAGGGCCAGTCTCTCCAGAAATGGTTCAGAGGAATCAAGTGGAACAAATGATATGAGATGCAATCTGAAGGTTAGGCCCAAGGCCAAAAGTCAAGACACCTCCACAATACGACAGGGAAAGAAGGAAACTACGTGGGTTCATGGTCCAACTACTCATCTACTTTGATGCAGTCGGATGGACTCAAGGAAACAATGAAGACAAAATGCGATATACTTTAATCCTACTTGAAGGGATGGCCCTAGAATGGGTAACGCCTACATCAGCAAAAATTTCACTTTGCGTCCCATGCGTCCCCTGCATCTGACTCACACGATGCCCAAATGCAAACCTTTAATTTGGACGGGACGTCTGCAGGACATCGGGTCTAGATTTGCCTTCCTCTTATGCAACCCATCCTGACCCCACCGGATATAGATGCTGACGCGCCCTGTGTCCGGATATTCTATGCTCTCTTCTCCTCCCATCCGGAGATTCCATGCTCTCTTCTCCTCCCATCTGGAGATTGCATGCTCTCTTCTCCTTCCATCCAGAGATTCCATGCTCTCTTCTCCTCCCATCCGGGGATTCCATGCTCTCTTCTCCTCCCATCTGGAGATTCCATGCTCTCTTCTCCTCCCATCCGGAGATTCCATGCTCTCTTCTCCTCCTATCTGGAGATTCTATGCTCTCTTCTCCTCCCATTCGGAGATTCCATACTCTCTTCTCCTCCTATCTGGAGATTCCATGCTCTCTTCTCCTCCCATTTGGAGATTCTACGCTCTCTTCTCCTCCTATCTGGAGATTCCATGCTCTCTTCTCCTGCTATCTGGAGATTATACCCTTTCCTCTCCTTGTGTCTGGAGATTCTACGCTTTCTTCTCCTTGCGTCCCGACTATCTCTGTAACCCTTTGCTACTTCCTGATATGGACTGATTCTCCCCCGTCCTATCTGACTTTGTCCACCCCCTGGCCGCTGATATCCCAACCCTACCCGTAACTGGTAGCATTAATCCTGATATTTTAAATGACTTCTCTCAACTCTCGACGTAACGACCCAGCGCCCTAAGATCTGGATTATCTTGCATCTAAACTGGTCGTCTTGATCTCTACTAGTACGCTGTGGGGACTTTTGCGCTGACATCACTTGCGCCCAGATCTTTCAACATACGTACCATTTGGGTCCCCTAGTGCGGGTGTTTTGGCCACATTCGCCTGCTCCTAATCAATCATGATCCGGTCCTTCATAGCTCCTGGTTCTCGCTACCTGATATTTCATGTCACACTACATTGTGGATGTTTCCTCCTCATCCATACCTAACAGACTTATTTGCCTAATCTCATGGGATTCGCTCTAGTTGACCCTGATGCTTTGTGTACAGTAATATGCCGTTGCAGTAAAATCTCCACTAGGTCCCAGTGCCCTCATGCACACTGGCTCCTACTGTGTCTCCATGTAGTACCTCTTCCGATCGTGATTGCTCCAATCCGCCTTCACCTATAACCTAGTATCGACCTCACACATTCTGCCCCCGCCTCTCCTCAGTGATAAGCAACTACAATGGGCTGCCCGGTCTAGTAGGATCCCATTCAGCCACGAATCTGTGTTTCTCAGATGACTACTCAAGACCAAGTGATAGCTGTGAGGCCAGAGGAGGGCTGCTAACAATCTCTGTCGGTAGACAAGCTACTATGTCCTGGAGGAATCCACCAATTGGATTAGAATCAAGCAATGCCAGC